TGACTTATATTTGTGGATTTATATTGACATTTGAGACACTTGTGGTTTTATGAAATATAATATATGAGTTTTATGTGTTTTAAAAATGAAAAAAATTGGTTTGAAAATTTACGGTGTTACAAAAAGAAGCAACAGATGGCCATGGTGATTTATGATCGGTCCTCTTCCCCTTTTCGTCATTATTTGGTCCATCTTTTTTGGCTTACCTACCTACAATTTGGGTCCGATGAATCAGGGCAAAAAATAGAGGAATCAATTTCACATATGTACTCTACCTCTCTCTCTAAAATTGAAATCGAAGCTAACACCCACCTCCAGTTCCTTGTATCTACTTCCCATTTACCCTAGAACCAATGGAGACTAAATCGATGTCGCCATTGAAACACTTCAAGTGGGAACTTTTCAGAAGATTTTGTTGTTGTTGTTGTAGGTTAGTTTTTGACACATCGAAGGTGGTTGAATCTTAACAGATTCAGAATCTATTTCGTCCCTAGAACCATGAGCAAGAAACCATGTTCGGACTTGATGTGTGTTCAAGAAAACAACTGAGAGCAACATCAATGGGCATGTGTCTTGGAGATAATTGTGTGGGTTTTATTGAGGAAGAATACATGGTAGGTTTCAAGCATAACATTTAGTATGTGTAAATGTGTTTTAATTACCGTGTGTATGTATGAAATGTGTTTATGTTTTAATTTTAAAAAGACAAATAATTATGTTGATTTTCCTATGGAAGAAGACAATTAGGTGTGTATGTGTATGTATGTGTGTGTGAGAGAGAGAGGACATCTCTTATTTTTATTTATTAATGTAAATAAATAAGTATTAAATTTAAAAAAAAAAAAAACGAAAGAAAAATAGTAAATAAATACACCAAGAGTATTACAGTCATTTCAATTTTCGAAGAAACGAAATACATAACTAATCAAGCTTAAAATGATCACCAATTCAAAAAATTCAAGTTTTGACAAAAACCTGAAAAGATGCATACCACATTACCATTTTTACAGTTTTGTCTATTAATAATAAAACAAAAGACAAAAGAAATAAAACCCAAAAACAAATAATAATAAAATTAATCAAATCAAAATAGGTTGATTTAAATTAAATAAAAAAAATCATATTTAAGTCAAATCAAAAGGATATATGTAATAACACCGGATTAAAAAGAAGGCAGGAATTCCCAATCAAAATGGGTTGATTTAGATCAAATAAAAAAAGGAATCCATTTACCATAAATTAATTATTTTAGACTTAACTACAGTGATTAAAATTTTTAAACGTAACTTGAAGATTGAGAAATACCATGCGAAGAAATCGAATGCGAAAGAAAATTATAAGATTTGCATTGCATTTATTATGTTTGTGCATGGGCTTTAGCTCAAGGTGGTACTACCTTAGGGGCTGTTTGGTAGGATCTGAATTTTTAAGATCTGAATTTTTAAGAGATCTGAATTTCTAAGAGGGTCTGAATTTTTAAGTTCTGAATTTTTAAAATGTTGTTTGGTTAGAACCTCTAAATTGTTGTGCTGAATTATGAAATTACCATTTTACCCTTCTAAGTTATTTTTGTTGAATTCAATGTTTTTGTTTATAAAATAATTGATCCAACTTCTTGAATAACTATTAAAAAAATATATAAACACCATACAGAAGAATATAAACAATGTACTCTTAAGATTATAACTGTAAAACTAGGAAAGGTCTTATATCAATATAAAAATTAATGAAATAATGTATACAAATACAATCATATATGTTATTGAATACAGGAATGGAAAAATGTTGCTAATCTAAAGACCGTAATAATAACCGAAAGTTGATCAATTAAACCAATTCAAGTACAATCTTCTTGCACTTAATTTCTCTTCTTGCTTCAACATTATCTGCTATAGACAAACCAGAAAGAAAGAATAGTTAGGTTCTTTTTGTGCTTCAAAGTCTACATTAAACTATTAACCAAATCTCCATAACACGGTTTTGAGGACAAGAAACATTATAAGTTTTATCTACATGAAATTACTTAAGTGGACATTGGGTCAAAGAATCATCAAATAAAAAAATGAGCAATCCATTGCTTTCTAAAAATCTCCACCTTAATGACGTCTTGAAACACAAGAAACATCACAACTACATCACAACAATACACCAATTCATCATTCATACTTTAAATTTCAAAAAAAAAAAAATCAGCAAAATCAACAAATAATTTCATCAACTTTAGAGAATGTTTTCATAAACTTTATCACAGATTCTTTAACATCATAACATAACTCCATCAAATAATTTCAACCAAAACAAAAAAAAAATCGATTTTAACAACAATCAACAAAGAAACTCAAGATATTTCATCAACTATTTCAGCAAGAAATCACAGATTTCAATAAGAAGTACAACTTCATCATTGATTTCAGAACATAACATCAATTTCTGAAGAAGACACATATGATTTCAACATAAAAAACGGAACATCTATATCTACAAATGAAAATCATATTTTAGAAGAAAAAAAAGACCAAAACAACCCTAATATCTTGAACTCGATTTTTAGAGGAAGAAGAAAAGAAAACATCATATGATTTCACATGAACAACATTCGATTTTCAGAAGAAAAGAAACTGAGCCCTAATATCTCGAACTCAATTTTAAATGAAAGTGAAATCAAAACCCTTACCTGTAGAAGTTGGCGGAGGCGGAGGCAGGGCTGTTGAAGCTGCCGGTGGTAGAGAGGAGCCAGAGGGGGCGACGTAGAATGGAGGGAGGTGGACACGAATTGGAGATGGAGGAGAAAGATGCAGCGGGAGTCGATGGAAACATATGAAAAGAAAAGAAGCGCTCCGTGTTTTTGAGGGCATAGTTGTCTTTGTTTTAATTCAGATACGCATACACATCTAAAATTTTAAGAGGTAAATTAAAAATTAAGATGTATTTTTTAAGAAGCTACCAAACATTATATATCTGAAAAATTAAGAGATTTCCTCTTAATTTTTCAATTAAGAGGCAAACAAACGGGGCTTTAGAGAGATAAACGCTATTTCAATTTATTTATAAGTTTGATAACCATTTATTATTTATTTGGTTAAAACATGATAAGCCATAAGATTCTTTGCGTATGAAATTTTAATGGTTAGATATAGATGTTAACAATCACAAAAACAAAAATGTCTACTTCAATATGAGAAAAAAGCAAAGGGAAGTGTCAAATCTACCTTCAATTATCTCATGAATCAAATATCAATCCAAATGGAGCTTATCTTATCATTAACATGTCAACATTAACATTAGATGGTGGTTCAGGTATCTAATCTCAGTTGACCCACTGTGTTTACTTAACGTTTAATGGTATAGATAGAAAGCCTCTTGATGACTGATTTGATGAATATTTCGCATCAATCTAGCAAAAAAAAATTACATAGGTAAATCGTTTAAAGGATTTGAATCAAACCAATCCAACTACAACTTTTCGATTGCTACTATCAAACCAATTGAACATTTTTTCTAAACTTTTTATCTCCAAAACATTCCAAGAAACCCACCATGTCGTGATGATGATATATCCGAAAGCCAACTTTTTTTGTCATGGAAATGTCGACTTATCTTGAAACCAATCTCCCATCACGTCGAATTGATAATTTCCCCAAACACCTTTGATAGTAAACAGATCCATTCTAATCAATCGAGCTTCTTGTAATCCCAAAAAGTTAATCTTGTGCCCCGAACAAAAGTTCATAGTCAATCGCATTTTCAATTTGTTTCCCAACCCAAACGTGTTTAAAGACATTATATTAATTTATCTACCATTTCCACACAAATGTTATTTATTATCTTTGTAAGATTCAATGTACTTCCAGTCACATCATATCCCAAAACTCCTACTACATCTATAAACCGGGCCATGTTATTAATTATCATCACCTCATTCACTTTTTCTTATTACTTTTATTCCTTTTCAACTTACCTATATTTGTGTAACTCGATATGGTTGAAAAGAAGAGGCTTGGTAACCTTAGTAGCCCTTTCTTAAATCATAATAGCTGTAGAAAGGCTCTTTGTTGAATATCAGATTAAATAGACACGCAATGAAACTGACAAATAATTTTGAAAATTATATGTCGATTAGTTGCGAATAATAAATCCAATAATTATTAATAGTTGCCAAGTTTCGTCCAGAAACCAGTTCGCGATTAGATCTAAGTATAAGAAAGATAGAAGCAAAGTGCCCTATATCGGACGAAATTAAATGACATAACAGTAAAGTAAAATCAACCTCGTAGTTGTAGATACAAACTTAACATTCTTGGTTTTCCATGGTTTAAATATAAAATATTTATTAATTATTTTGTTATTATTTCGTGTTTGGGTTATTTGTGTCATTTACAAAGAAGTTGTGGGGTTGTGCCTCACATCTGTTGGTTATTGTTATGCTTAACACGCAAGTTGATGGCTCCGTTTACCCGGGGCACTTAATGCTTGTTGATGACTCATTTCACTCCACTACAAGAAAAATACCCTTTTACGACACGCAAACCACGACACTCATTGATTTATGTTACGCAAAAGAGGCTGACATTAAAAAATTGTCATCTCTTCAAAAAATTTAAGGATTTATGTCACGCATTACTGCGTGCCCTTAAATTAGTGTTTAAATAAAAACAAAAAAAAACAAAAAAACAAAAAAAAAAAAAAAAAAAAAAAAAAAACACGGAGGGCACCTATAATAAAACGTGTGTCAACTAAGAGTGTCGCTTTATAAATTTTAATACAAGGCGCGTTCCATCCTTTAATAAATAGGGGGAAATAAAATCCTAAAAAATTAAAATCCCCGCCTTCCTTTTTTCTTCTTTCCTTATTGCCCTAATTATCGGCTCTTTCCTTCCCCCTCCCGACATTGACTGCCACCTTCTTCTTCCCTCACACTTCGACCATCGTTAGGTACCATTCCCGGTCATCGACGTCGATCAAGGCAACAGTAGGCACGCCATCTCCGAAGTTATGAGGCAATGGCGATGGTTCCAAAGAAAAAAGACGCCATGCCGGTGACTTTAGGGATGGAAGATATCAACAATTGGACATTATGTCTTATAGATGAATTCATGTGACCTTCTCTGAAATTATGCTTGAATTTACTTTGAAAAAGGTTGATATATTACACAGACATATGTTTTTGGCGATCTTTATCGATATGATGTTGATAAAGGAGATTGGAAGCTAGTTTCTAGCCCTAACAGCCCCCTCCTCTCAGTCCATTTTCTGGTTATCGAATTGTATGTTCATACCTTTCTGATTTTCCCTATGTCATCCATCTTTTAGGGTTTCTAATTTGAGCCAGCGACTCCTCATTTTTCCCTCAGATTTGAGACTCCTCTTTCATCATAAATAGGAGGTAGCAAGGTTAATTTTATGAGATTCGGAACTATGACTTGAATTACAGGTTGAAGATCAGAAATCGAAGGTTGCAAGTCGGATTTGGGATCGAAAGTCAGAGGTTCAAGGTACGATCGGAAGCATCAGAATGCGGAAAACAAAAACGGAGGAGGCATCAGGTTCGAAATTTGTTATCTTCTTCTTCATGTACGTGACCTAGATTTCTTTCTCTTACATTGAATTTTTAAAGATTCTTTTATTCCCTAAATCAGGTACGAAGACAGTTCTCTTCTTCTCCATCTGTTTTTGGAATGACAACCTCTCTTGTTAACCTAAAGGGTATTTTCGACTTTTTTTTTGCTAATTAATATTTGATGTTGATTTTTGTTTTGTTTGGTTTGTTGTGTAGGGGATTTAGCAATGTGGTGATTACATGGGCAAATTAAGCAAATGGAAGTTGCAGTTGAGCAAGCTGCTTAATCACGTTCAAGAAGAAGCAAGTGGCAGTTTATGGGGACAAGTGATGTTGGTGCTAAAGAAGAGCTTCACCGGGTGTATTGTGTGTCTGAAAGAACAGAAGGCAATCCCTCACTAAGTGTATTGTGCTAAAGAAGACCTTCTGCCCATTCCATTATACTTACTTGTGATTCTTCTCGGTTAATGATATCAGGTCATAAGAGAATGATATGTGTAAGCAATCCTTATGTTTCTCTCAACTGTTGAGTTATGTCATGATAATGATATATATTTCTTTTCAGGTTGTAGATGTTGGAAGCCAGAATTTAAGTCACTAAGTCATCCCATGTTGTAAGGATTCAAATTCAGAATTACCACCTGCAATCAACTATTTTGGAGATGAGTATATATATATATTCAATCTAGAGACACAAGTAGTCTAGCTAGTATATGTGTATGTATGATGTTTATAGGGCTAATCTGATGTAATTTTGTTTGTCTGTTTGAGCAGGAAATGCTAGTTCATTCCAAAAGTCACTTGTTTTCTGCAGTAGGTAGCATTCAAACACAAATTGGAACCTTTCTTCAAGATAAAGGCAATTTTTTTTTCTATCATAGATCAAAAGAATAGCCTTCATCTTAAATGATCTTCTAACAGTTTATCTTCCTCAAAAGGTTTCTGATTCTATGTTATTTTCTAGAGCAACATGGGAAGGTGGTCAATACAATAGGGATGAAAAGAGTCGATTGGATGCTCTGTGTTTAGCAATGGAGCTAGGAGCTTATCACATCGATGCTGAGCCTCAGGTTCCTTTTTTCTCTCTAGGTGCAAATGGTGCAGCTGGTCATTGCTTTCTTCGGCTCATATATAGGTATATAAACCATAATTTATTGCAATGCAGTTATTAACTCAGTAACATTTAACAAACTTATTTTTTCTCAAAAACAGAACAATTGAATCAGGGCAAATTTGTAAGAACTAAGAAGTTGGACTTAGTAGGGAAAGCCTCATTTTCCTGCCTTTCTGTATTAACTTCTTTATGGATTAAGTTAAAAATAGTTTGTCTTGTACTCTTATTCTGTATTATAACTTATGCATTTGGTTTTTCATATATTATGGTATTTTAAACTCATGGGATTATAATGTCTTTCAGATACACAGATAGAATGCAAAGTGTTGATCATCAAATTACAGTGCTTTTGTATGATTTATTTATAAAAAAAGTAATGCTTGTTTTCCAGGGTGAGAAGAAGAAGAAAATAAAAACTGAAAATTACTGGGATTGGGAATTGGCCAATGAGACAAAACTGATATGGGTAATTTAAAAAAGTGATTCTTTTGAACTTTTTGAGCCATTTGTTTTCTTAACAATTTGTTAATTTATATAATGGAAATGCTGATGAGGAATCCTAAAGAATTGAAAAAGATCCTTATAGTGAGTTTTACAAGAAGACATTTGATGAGTTTCTTGATCCTCTTGCACACACTCATTTCACCATAGAGGTACTTGTTCTACATTTTTCTTACATTTTCTGGATTAATTTACTAAATTTAAATCTATATATTTGTTTAATGTATTCATTTTTGTAAGGTGAAGTAGAGTTTAGGGGTTATTGTTAATAACCAAACAGTAGTTAGAGGGGGAAGAAGCATCAGGGGAGGTAGGGGTTATTGGTTCCTGATTAATCTATTTTATGTTGTAGATAACATTATTTGCAACATCAGAAGACAATATACAGATACAAGAATAATAAACAAATAAACTAAGGAACTTTGTTATTCTGATTACCTGACTTGTTTTTACAGTCAACATCTCAAATGAAGAGCAGGCTTCTGTTAGTGTAGTTGTTCCATCTGTACATGAGACTGAAGGTCGTTCTGCTTCTTTAGGTCCCACTTACAGGGATTCCTTCTTTCACTACAAGGGTACTTATCATTCTGTACATCCATGCTTTTGATTGTATGATTTGTGAAAGTAATTTCTTTTCTACTTATTGCTTTTCAATTAATTTCAGTTAATTGCAGGTGGTTGGAGACGTGCACAATCCTTGGAAAATATTCTTCTTCCTCTGATTCTTACAACTTCTTTCATAGGAAAGGTAGATTAATCACAAATTGATTTTTTGCGGAATCAATTTCCAGTTTCGGCCTTCATCAAAATGTACATATAATTTATAAGTTATAATAAGAAATTTAGATAAGTAAATACTTAATAGATTAATAATACAATTATGTTTGCTATTTTATAACTTATATAGTTTTATAGTTTCTTGAATTTCAACGTGACAACTGTTAACTGTTCCTTATGCAAGGTTGTTAGGTGTCCCTCTTTTAAGGTGTATGTGTGATTGTGATCATTCTGTTAGAAGAAGTGTCACATACAGGTTTGGTGCCCTTGTTCCTCTTTTACCCCTTGCACGTGGTGTCTGATATTGTTGCTTAGAACCAAAAACAGGTTCAATTTTCGAAGTCGCCATCTTTCCAAATAGAATCCAAAGGTTCAGTTTCCTGAATTAATCATCACTCTTGTTCTATTGCTACACGAAATTATAGTTTTTTGCTCTAAAATGTCGTGATGTTGGGGAGGCAACTATTTCTAGCGTGGGCTGGATGGTATAGAACCTTCTAGAAATATTTTTAAGTATAATTATCATGTGTTATCTTATTCTTTCCTATCAAGCATATATGATAATATACATATTCTTCTTGATTTTAGGGTTTGTGTCTGGACTGTTGTGATGTTGTGTGTTCTTCCTATACTCGATGCTTACACACTCATCACAAGATTCATAAGGGTTGGTGGTGAACTTTTTGGCATGTTGATTTCAGTGTTCTTTATGCAAGAGGCTATTAAGGTACATGCAGATGCACTTGTTAATGTTTTGACTTTCCTTAATTTTGAGAGATAATTCATTCAATGTGATCTTATGTTGGATATTTTAGGGAGTTATTAGTGAGTTCCATGTTGGATATTTTAGGGAGTTACTAAAGATGTTCCTCTTGGTGTTCCTAGACGCCTTTTTTGTCCCCTTCCTTGGGAACCTGGATCTTTGTCCCATTGGACAGTCATTAAGGTATTCTTATAATAACAATGTACTTTGTTTTCTACCCATAGTAGTAACACACTTACATATTGCTATTACAAGTACATTTCTATTATTGGTAAAGAAATGTAAATATTGGTAGTATATTAATATCATCATTAAAAAATTGAAGTATGCTACTATTACGGGTGAGGAAATGAAGGTAGATTGTACCTTTATTAGAAGCTAAAGATTAATGTTATTTCAAGATATGGTGAAGGTTCCAGCAGTTCATATTTTCACTGCTATAATACCAGCACTGATGATAGCATCCTTGTACTTTTTTGACCATAGTGTAGCTGCACAAATGGCACAATAGAAAGAATTCAATCTTAAAAACCCTTCTGCTTACCATTATGACATATTGTTACTTGGATTCATGGTATTAAATATTAATACCCTTCCTTAATGCCTTTTTCCCTTTTCTCCATTTTATATATTATTATTATTTACATTTCAACAACCATTACATTTCAATTGACTTTGATTTGTGGTCTGGTTGGTGTCCCTCCATCAAACAGTGTCCTCCTACAATCACCCATGCACACAAGGAGTCTCGCAACTCTTGAGAGACAGGTTACCCATGCAATAATAAAACAACTTTTTTTTTAACAAATTATAAGGTTTTTTCATTAATAATAAAATGTTATACTTCATGGTTTGGTTTTTTCAGATTATGCAAAAGAAGATGGTAAAGATCGCAAAGGAGGGTAAGAAAATGGAAGCAAGCAGCTTAGAAATCTATGGAAAAATGAATTTTGCTTTTGTTCAAATGGATCCTCATCCACAAGTACTTTAGTTACAATTTTAAAGTAGAATGCAGTTATTTGTAGATAAATGAGTTCATTTTTTTATAACATTTACTCATTATTGGAATAATTATTTGTATTTGACATATTAGTGAAATGAATTATCTTTGTTATTTATGGTATTTTATTTTGTTTATGAGACTTTTAAGGTGTTATTTAATTTGAAAATTAGTAAATCTATATTTAATACTTTTTTTAAACATTTAAAATTATGATACGCAAAAATGTGTGTCATCTTCATTTATGACATGACCTTTCTTGACAAGGGCTTTCTTGATACGCATTGCGTGTCATTAACACGCGCGTCGTAAGGTTACGACACGCGAATGCGTGTCGTCTTCCTTTATGACATGGCCTTCCTTGATACGCATTGCGTGTCGTAAATGCGCGTCGTAATTGAGCGTCGTAAATGCGCGTCGTCTCTCTTTATGACATGGCCTTCCTTGACGCGCATTTGCGCGTCATCTGAGCCTTTTACGATGCATAATAAGCGTCATAAAAGGCTGTTTTTCTAGTAGTGCTCATTCATTTGAAATATCTTACACAAATACTAAGTGTTCTCTCTCGTTCTCTCCTTTCTATTGTTAAGGTTACTTTATTGTTAGAGTTACTTCGTTCTTCTTGTTTTACATATATAAATTAGGATTGAGTGTTTTGTTATGAGAGTAGAATAGGTATTTTATAGTGAGTTTTGTTATTGTATGTACGTTGAAAACCTTTTGATTATTTGTCATCTAATGATATAAGAATCATTGATGTTAGGAATGTCTGTTTCTTTACTATTTCACATGGTACCCGAGCATCAGGGCTACGATCTTCTTCGACACAACCATGGATGAAATCCTAATTAATTCTTGGGTTAATCCCACTCGAAGACTACTTGATAATGATTATAGGATAGTTCTAACTTATGCTGAACCACCTTCGGATGGATACTGGGATGTTCTGATTTCGCCCAACTCTAAATTCTTCCATGTCTTTGAACCTTTCGACCTTAGCCTTCCTAATGATCGAAGGTTACCTCTCGAGTTTGAACGTCTAAATCACTTCCATGCCAAGCATGGATCTAAATTTGAGAGCATATGGTCTAATGATAAACCTTCAGTATTGAACAATTTCAAGATAAGGAAGTTTATGAAGATAGACTTCATTCAGTATATGCTTATAAGAAGAGGCAATGACTACATCAGGACTCAAGCTAATTTTCCTTGCATGAATCCTGAGGAAGTATTCCTGATTGCAAGGGTCTTTCAAATCAAGTCCAAGAAACATCCAAAGATGAAGATTGAGTATGAGAAAGCTTGCAAATTTCTCAAGTCATCGATGTGTGACTTTGCTAAGATCGATGTGGATATTCATCATGTGCTTGTCCAAAAGTTCAATCTCCCAACTCTTAAACCTGCATTAGTGTTCACTAAAGGTTATCAAGAAAGCTTCTTAGGAGCAACCAACTTCCTTGAACTTGGAGTTGTATATAAAAGAGCCAACAATGATATCAAGTACTTCATCCCAATCACCACAATGCATCAACTGACCTGCAAACAACTTGAAGTTACTTTGGCTTCTGTTCAGAGATCTAGGCATACAACAAAAGAAGTGAAGTATGAGATTACGAAAAAAATCACTTGGCTAGGAGAAGTGAGGAAGTTTTGGTGGTTCCTCATCAAATTTTTTAAGCTTGATCAGTAATGAAGAAAAGTTGAAGATGTCACTTAGGAGAAATTGTTAGAAGAAAAAGTGATCATCTTAAACTTGGCAATCCGCAATCACCTTCTGTCTACCGCAACTATATTTCTGCTACCGCAATCAACTCTCTCCCTACCGCAATGAAGCGTCTACCGCAATTTCAAGAAGTGAACCGTACCCCCTCTACCAATGAAGATTAAGTTACGTCCTCTGACTTAGTGTGATAGCCTTTCTTTATCCAATGGACCTTGCATGGCTATGTTAGTCAGTAGGTTGTTATTTGTTTATTCAGGATGTAACTTTTAGAGGCTCTATAAATAGAGTGCTCATCTTTTGTAGCAAACACCTCTTATTACTTCTTCACTAGAATCTTTTGAACTTGCTCTCTGAAATATAAAGATCATTTTCTCATATCTCTATCTTACTGATTATCATCGAAGATCCTCTTCACTTTAAACTGATCTCACATACTAACTCGTATTTGAGCGCAAACCTTGTTAAGAATCGGTTTAGTGTTTACTTGATATATAACTTGTTTTCATTCATCTTTCCTTTACTTTTCAGCACTTCAATTCGGCAACTAACTATTTAACAAATCTAACTTCTTATTGTTGTTAAGCTTTTATGATCGTTTGAGATTACTTATTTCGCAACTATAATCTTGTAGTAACGTTTGTCCAAGTGTTTTCCAAAGGTATTCTCTCAACAAGAGCAAAGAAGATTATTAAAAATTTAAACCATTAAACCCAAATGGTTTTGACAAAGAAGACTCACCATATTTGCTTTTTCAACAAATTCTTCCTCTTGTATTTGTTCTAACACACTGTTTGCAAATAGTAAATAATCACACCATCATTTTGTATTTTACCATATCCACTTCATCCTATTCGGTAACTTCTACGATGTTTTTACATATCTTTTCCTCTTCAATTTTATTTTCTACAATTACTTGTTTTATCATCATGATCCCTATTAATTGGAACTTATCTTTCTTGGAATCGCCTTGATCTCTCAAATCTCTCTTATCCACTCCATCCTTATTTTTCGTCATGTTTTCATCCCGACCCGCATTTTTATTTTGACTTTCTTCTTTGACGATAGTAAATATCAAACATGATGTTTTCTTAACTCGAATCTCATAGTTATTCTCTCTGATGGTCATTAATGCATTTTTAGAAATGTAAGATTAGATAGGAGTCTTAATGAAAACTCTATGAAAACTCTACTCGTTCATATGTTCTCATCTTGATCATCATCACACCCTATGCACTTGCAACTTTCTTGAAAACATTAGGTGTCCAAGCATATATAAGAAGGAAGACTATCTATTTCAGTCCACATCATTCTTTCATCCATATGAAAATCTTTTGTCATTCAGTTTCATGTCGTTAAAATGTGACTTCGTCTCCTTTGTGTTGTTTAAGTTTAGCATATGTGTTTCTTGACTTGAACTATTACTATACCCACGATCCTCTGTTGTAATTTATCTCTAAAGCCGAGAAACCTTTTTACTACATACTTTGTATATATTCACTATGAGATTCATCTCACTTATACTTCTCAACACCATGCATGTAGTATATGGTACAATTAATAATTCACATTGTTAAATAATGATTTTCTTATGGGCAACTTCTCCATCGCTTTTCTTGCACCCGCTTCCTTCTCATCATAACATAAGCGAACTTACGTGTGTTCTTTCCTTTTTGCATAAATATCCGATTGATTCTGAGGTTGATTGTTCTTTGATGTTTTGTTCATTGCTATCATTTTATTGCTTATTTTGAAAATATATCCACTAACACAAACAAGTGATGATTTAAGATCCATATTGTGCATAAATTGTGTATAAAAAAAAGTTTGGTGATCGACAAACATAAATCTCACCAAAACCAAGTTTGGATAATTTCCTCATAATGTAGACATTTGAAATAATACCATACTCATGTCATACCTTCGAGGATCATTTCGAATCAATCGTATTTGGAGATTTTGACACATAAACCGATATCATAAGTTTTTCAACTAGTTTGATATTAGGGTTATGTTTTCCGCTTTTAGAAGTCTCATTTTATACATATTTCAAGTTACCAATCCACTATTGCTAGTCGTTTTCAATCACCATGTTGTTAGTTCAACCCAAGTAGAAGTTTTGGCTATTCTCTACTCCTTCGAAACTACAAAATAACTTCAATAAGGAAAATACAATTTTCTAAATTCTTGTGTTTTTATTTTTCTTTAAATCTTTCATTTAATTAGGTGTGTTTGTATCATCTTATTCCTAAAAACTAGATGTTTAAATTACATACTAATTGAATAGGTTGTAGCTTAATGAAATATATCACTAGTTGTTGAACATCTGTCACTTAACCAATTAATTGAAGGTTGGAACTCTTGCTTTAGACAAAAATATGTTATACCTTAAAAGTAGATTAAAATATTTGTGCATTAGTCATTAAAAAGACTGATTACATATTTAAAAAAAATTGCTAATCACATGTTATACTTTAAAAGTCATGGTTCATTATATTTTGTGTTGCTTTCTTTTTTATCAAATCACTTATAGTTGAAGCAATTAGTTTTTTTTTTTTTTTTTTTTTTTTTTTTTTTTTTTTTTTTTTTGGTGCTTATGAGATTAAAGAGTTAAACAATTACTCCGGCCAAAATGACTTATACATTCTTGTTTCGTCTTAATTTAATATGGACGAAATAACTTATAAATGATTGTTTCAATTTAATTTGAATTGAATGACTTGATGACTTAGTACATAAAAAAAAAAAAAAAAAAAAAAATTAATTTATTAAGATACTAACACTTCACATATTTTTTTTTCCTCACTCATCACTTTTATTGAACACTACAAAAAAAATGCCAATTAGTGACCAAAACAAAATGGTCACTAACAATAGAATGAGTCGTCACTAAATGATTTAGTGACCAAAATTCTGATCGTCACTTTTCGTCACTATAGGTCCGTCACAAAACCGATTTAGTGTTCAAATATAAATACAGTCACTAAACAGTGACTAAAATATAGTCGTCACTAAATCTATGACGACCCGCTTCGTCACTAAATGTTGTCACTAATCATTGAAAATCGTCACTATTTTATCTACTTAGTGACCAATAAAAGTCGTCATTGTTTTGCTGGATTAGTTTTATCCGATTAGTGACCATAGAAAGTGGTCACTAGTTTATTTAAGTAGTGACTATTAGAGGTCGTCATTGATTTATCCTATTAGACAATAAAATGGGTCAATAATTAAGAGTTTCTTGAAATATTAAATGTCATTTCGTATATGC